GCATCTTTGACTATGGCTCGTTTTACTTGCGCATTTATCAAGAAGGATAACACTATTTGTGGAAATAAGTGCTGTGATCCCACTGGATGTTATAGATACTGGAAATTGTATGAAAAAAATATAGAAAAAAAACCCTGCCTTGTTAGTGGTTGTCGTAGATATACTGTTTCTACTATGAAATGTTGTCCTGATCATTCGGGTAGATTTCATTCGCTAAATTATCGGATAAGAAAGAAGTATGGGGTTGAGACCCTTTAACCTGTAAAGACATCTGAATTATCTGCCGAGAAGTGAGTAGAGAAAGCAAAAAATATTATTCCATTTATACCTTTAAGTTGAATAGGATCATTTTAAATTTATAAATAAAGTACATCAAGCATATTTTTGAAATGGGGCTTCTTCAGAATTATTATATAAAAAATGGAAGAAGCCCCATCTCAAAGTATATACGATCTGATCCTGTAAAACTCTAGTATTATATTCATACTACTTTTATAATAGATCTATGCGATATCAAATAAGTCTTGAATATCTTTCGCAATTAGTACAGTATCTATATTAGAACTGGAAGTATTTTTGGTTTGTTTTTTTTCCAAAAGATTTTCCATTAATAATTCATCAGGTAGGAGTTTACTATACCCATATCGAGTATCTCCCCCATTCTCCCAATAAATTTCTTTTCCCGTTTGATATGAGGGTAACTCAGGAGAATCATTATTATCGAATGGTCCAACTAGATGGTAATGTTTGCTATGTTTATCTATAGCCTTAAATTTTAACCCATAAGTTATATGCAGTGCTGAATTAAGTAAACCAAGTTTAGCTCGAATTGTTTTTAATCCTGATTTTTTAGTACTGCGTAATGCATCTGTATTATTAAATACGCAAGCCATTTTAGGTACTAAATCCTGGAGATATGAAATCGACTCAGGAGAATCCATGTGTATTTTAACATCATCAGTCTTATATCTTGCTCTATCATCGATATTACAAGCAGGTGTACATTTTTTTAATAATTCTAGACAAATTCGATGTCTCTCAGCTCAGGTAGTAGTTATAAGTCTGTCTTCCCTATAATCTTTGCGAGTAATAGCTTCAACGGCTATTTCATTATTAGTACCAGCATCTCGTAATTGCTTATAAGCTCTAAACCATTTCATGTGATTGTAATTTCCATATTTTGAGATGAAGTCTTCGGTTAGTAATTCAGGTGGAACCCCATAGCAATCCATAATATGATACCGGTCTAAAGAGCGCATCTCTTCTAAAGTCTTCTTTGATTTATTCTCTAATAATTCAGCAGTCTCATGGTTGACAATAAAAGCATTAGATATATTCGATATCTCCTCTGCTTTAACAATAGAAGAACTCGTCTTCACTGTTTGAGATAGCATTATCATAGTATCTTCAGGTTTAGGAACGAATTCTATGACAGAAACTACCATACCTGCCTTTCAGAGAAAATCGACCATCCTCCAACCAAATAAATGTCGGGAACAGAAATTTTCTAACATATATGCTACCCACAATCGAATAGTTGGCATATCTTTATTCCGTATAATAGAATCTATATCTGGAAAAACCCCTCTATTTTGAAGTTCACGAGGGAGACATTCACGTTTGGCATTTAACAACCATTGGAATAATCCTTTTTCTGTGACTGGAACATTAGAAGATCTCTGCTCAATATGGAATATATAATCCTTAATACATCGCATGCGAAATAACATCTGATTCATTCCGGCATTTGTTTCTATGTAGCTATTAAAAAGACAGAATGCTCACTCAAACTTAGGATTAGTGCAGGATACTCCTATTTTTAAAGTGCTTGTATAAGCAACTAGGTCAATATTTTTCCATGATTCTTCTACGTTGCTAAAATCTTGAGCTTTTTCCATTGGATCGGATTTACCGTGATATTCCTTGATCCTTAATTCTGGAAATTCAGTCTTAAGAGCACGAACAATTCCTTGTAGATCTTTTCTAAGATGGCAAATAAGTGATGCACTTTTACGATTCTCAAAAGGTAATAAGGAATTATGTTTAGCCCAATCCTAGAGTTCGACTAATATAGATTCTTTATTAGGAGCTAGGCGGAATGTTTTACCTTTCTGAGGCTGATAAGTGTTATGAATAATTGAAAATGGTTTATACTTGCGAAGAGCTTTAATCCA